ACAACAAAATCTTGCTGTGACTGATACGACAAAAATTTGCTGGCAAAAAATAATGGTAAACGTCTGCGAAAAAATTAGAGGAATGAGACACTGCTGGCATACGAAAAAGACCCCACATAAAATAAATGGATAATTTAGTATACTGGGGGAATATCACTTTCATGAAATACAATGACAATTACTGGAGAATACAACGCTGAAAGAATACAATAAAAAAAATGAATCCCTTCACACAGGGTGATGATGGTATACTACACAATAATACTTACTAGAGACAGGAGTAGCATAAGAAAAACACAGAATAAAAATATAAGATAAGTGAAAACACTGAAAAATATTGTAAAAATAATGAGTCAAAGAAATACTTGTTTACACTGAAAACACAAGGTTTTGGTACACAAGCAAATTTACATAAATGTCCCCACACACGCAAAAAGTCTTTAAAAGCAAGAAAAATGTCTCAAGAAAAATTTCATCGGAGTCGGGATAGTAGACGGGCGATTACTGGTGATGGGGGCGGGTGGTAGGGTGTCCCGCGCGGTGATACTGACGCCTCCTACATTCACTGTTGTCGGAAGAAATGTGCTTTCTAGGCGAACTCACATAACTGGCTTTATCGTTGGCACCAGCTACAATCTCTTGACCAATTATGTGAGCCAAAACAGTACTAGGACCCGGTACAAGGGTGCAAACAACCACAGGTAGATGGGTGGATGGCTGGTGGTGGTGGTGGAGAGTGGTGGTGGGAGAGAGTGGTGGGTGGACGCTGGGGCTCTGCCGCGCACCCCGGGTGGTGGGAGAGAGTGGTGGGTGGACGCTGGGGCTCTGCCGCGCACCCCACTCACCCACGAAGGTGGCTTAACCCACTCTATGCCACAGGAATGGTGAAAACCACTTTGCATCCACAGGGAGCACAAAGCGATATAGACAATACTTCAGAGGAACTTGGCTTACTTCTTACTGCGTGGTTTACTTCTCTCTCTCAGCTGGGTTAGAAGCTGGGTTGGCTGACTGGCTTACCCCACGAGAATGGCTGACTGGAAGACGGGTAACGATGCACAAAGCACGGAGGAGCAGTTGGATGACAGGAGACAGGCTGGATGATAGGCTGACTGGCGTTCACTTCCACAGTCCGGCTTACTGACTGGCTTAATTGCAAAATCCGGGTCAACCCCTCGGAGATTGAAGCAATTAGCACACGAACTAAGCCAGGAAGCTTGAAACGGCTGCAACAGGCTTGCAGGCAGTATGTAGTGAGGGGAGTGAGGCTGCTGGCTCGAGGTGGTGTGTGAGGGTAGTGGCTGGTGGGTGACGATTCACCTTTGACCCTGCCGCTACTCACACAGCCTTCTAACGCCTTGAATTACCCTTAAAAACGTAAATCCACGCTCCACACCGCTGTACACCATTTATCATGTGGGAGTTCGATACGTGGATTAGGTAAGAAATACTCACGTAGGCTGTTATTACGTATAATTGCGATATGTGGAGAGAGCCCTTGCCAGCCGTACCTATCTCCTTGCTCACACTCGTAATACTGACTAGCCGGCTGCCCAGTACCCAGTGAGTGGGTCTTTTGAAATAGTGTCAGTTCAGCGCAATATGAAAGACCGTGACTCAGGCAGAGACGGTTGGTCGTTGAGTCAACGGACACTGGTTACTGGTAACTGGTTACTACTGAGACTGGTAACTGGTTACTACTGAGACTGGTAACTGGTTACTACTACTGAGAGTAGCAGTAGTAAGTAGCAGTAGTAAGTAGCAGTAGTAAGCAGCAGTAGTAAGCAGCAGTAGTAAGCAGCAGTAGTAAGCAGCAGCAGTAGTAAGCAGCAGTAGTAAGTAGCAGTAGTAAGTAACAGTAGTAAGCAGCAGTAGTAAGCAGCAGTAGTAAGTAGCAGTAGTAAGCAGCAGTAGTAAGCAGCAGTAGTAAGTAGCAGTAGTAAGCAGCAGTAGTAAGTAGCAGTAGTAAGCAGCAGTAGTAAGTAGCAGTAGTAAGTAGCAGTAGTAAGTAGCAGTAGTAAGTAGCAGTAGTAAGCAGCAGTAGTAAGCAGCAGTAGTAATTAGCAGTAGTAAGTAGCAGTAGTAAGCAGCAGTGTTACAAAAAACGCGATTCTAAAAGCTTAGAGATCTCCAGTGAATACTAGAAAGGACTGCCCTTCTAGCATCAAGCCTGTTACTGGGTTTTCGTAACAAGTAGTCAGTATCCTTGTCCACTTATCCATTAGAAATCAGTATGATTCAATAGTGCTTCAGGATTACAACTGGTAGGCTACTAACTAGAGAAATTGAAATTTAATAAATTTATTAATGATTAAGTTGTCTAGAGGTATATTATCAAATTAAATTAAATTCAATTAATCACAGTAATCAAAATAATATTAATCTCTCTCGTATACAATAGTATTGTGCTGAAAGCACATATCACATTTATAATTCTTAAGTACCGTCTGGTACATTAACATTTAATAAGATATTACAAATATGTACAAGTAAGTTTGTGTATGTGTGTAAGTGCTCTAAGTAGTTCGCTATGTCTCACGACTCGACTAGACTTAAACAAGTGACTGACAAAGTCCTCACATAAACTAACTTCTTGACTGACTGGCAACCAGAACAGTCTGCTTGAACAATAAAAAGAATGCTAAGCCCAATAGCAATACAACAAGCAACTGCGACACAATCAGGATCAAGGAGATAATATAACGACACTAAGTAGGGACCATCTGCAGATCCTCCACAAAAGTCACAAAACTCCCATACTACTGAATCTAAGTTCAGCATAAGAAAATCCCCGACTGTGATAATACACAGATACCAGTACAAGTTAGGTGAGAAGCTAAAGCTCAGGACCTGAGATGTTTCGATTGTATGTGACACACAACCTCAGTACAACGTCGAAAATCACTAAGTCTATACAATGTTCTGTGAACAGTTCTACAGAACTAACAAGAATAATGAGACAGACAATCTGTCCAACCACCAAGAGAGTCTCGACCAGACTGAATACTTTAGGGGAGGTGAGGACCCCCCCCCCCTCGATCACGTGATAGCTACGTGGACAACTGCAGCTCAGAAGCCGGCAGTCTAACGAGCTACAAGCGATAATTACAGTAGTTTGACAATCAAGACTTGAACTGAGCACTTAATATGTTACATCCTAACAACATAAGTCAAATAACAATATAAAGTAATACATTTACGATTTAGCTATTATCGCAAATATAAGCAATATAAAATTATATGAAAAGGTAATACACATTATATATATACATAATCATTGCAACCCATTTAGGGGTTGCAACCCCCCCCCCCCCCAACACGACAGACGGTCGCACTAGGAGTTTCATTAATGTCTTTCACATTATTACTGATTACTCATATCAATACAATTTAATATAAACATTAATCAATCTCTCTTGTACCAATCACCTCTACAATTTCAGTAGTAAGTAGCAGTAGTAAGCAGCAGTAGTAGCAGTAGTAAGTAGCAGTAGTAAGTAGCAGTAGTAAGCAGCAGTAGTAAGTAGCAGTAGTAAGTAGCAGTAGTAAGCAGTAGTAAGCAGCCGTAGTAAGCAGCAGTAGTAAGTAGCAGTAGTAAGTAGCAGTAGTAAGCAGCAGTAGTAAGTAGCAGTAGTAAGCAGCAGTAGTAAGCAGCAGTAGTAAGCAGCAGTAGTAAGCAGCAGTAGTAAGTAGCAGTAGTAAGTAGCAGTAGTAAGCAGTAGTAAGCAGCCGTAGTAAGCAGCAGTAGTAAGTAGCAGTAGAAGTAGCAGTAGTAAGCAGCATAGTAAGTAGCAGTAGTAAGCAGCAGTAGTAAAGCAGCAGTAGTAAGTAGCAGTAGTAAGTAGCAGTAGAAGCAGCAGTAGTAAGCAGCAGTAGTAAGTAGCAGTATAAGCAGCAGTAGTAAGCAGCAGTAGTAAGCAGCAGTAGTAAGCAGCAGTAGTAAGCAGCAGTAGTAAGCAGCAGTAGTAAGCAGCAGTAGTAAGTAGCAGTAGTAAGCAGTAGAGTAAGCAGCAGTAGTAAGCAGCAGTAGTAAGCAGCAGTAGTAAGCAGCAGTAGTAAGCAGCAGTAGTAAGCAGCAGTAGTAAGTAGCAGTAGTAAGCAGCAGTAGTAAGCAGCAGTAGTAAGCAGCAGTAGTAAGCAGCAGTAGTAAGCAGCAGTAGTAAGCAGCAGTAGTAAGTAGCAGTAGTAAGCAGCAGTAGTAAGCAGCAGTAGTAAGTAGCAGTAGTAAGTAGCAGTAGTAAGTAGCAGTAGTAAGTAGCAGTAGTAGCAGTCAGTAGTAAGTAGCAGTAGTAAGCAGCAGTAGTAAGCAGCAGTAGTAAGTAGCAGTAGTAAGTAGCAGTAGTAAGTAGCAGTAGTAAGCAGCAGTAGTAAGTAGCAGTAGTAAGCAGCAGTAGTAAGTAGCAGTAGTAAGTAGCAGTAGTAAGTAGCAGTAGTAAGTAGCAGTAGTAAGCAGCAGTAGTAAGTAGCAGTAGTAAGTAGCAGTAGTAAGTAGCAGTAGTAAGTAGCAGTAGTAAGTAGCATAGTAAGTAGCATAGTAATCAGCAGTAGTAAGCAGCAGTAGTAAGTAGCAGTAGTAAGGCAGAGTAGTAAGTAGCAGTAGTAAGTAGCAGTAGTAAGCAGCAGTAGTAAGCAGCAGTAGATAATGCTTAAAAAAGCGAGAACTAAACCTGTATGGGTTCTAGACAGTTGACCCACCTTAAAATTAAACTGTTACTAACCCACATTTATACACATTTCACAAGAAATTTGATGCAGTGTGGTATAATAATGACATTGTTTATGAATAAAGAGCTGCTGTCGTAAATAACTGGACATGTAAAATAAAAAAAAATAAAACGTTGTACAAAAATGGCTTCCAATTCAACCCGGGAACCTCAACTTCCTCCAGAGAACTAAATCCATCATTAATATTAACTCAGAGATAATAAATCCAAAAAATATTAATGTAAAAATAATCAGTGATATTTCATGCAACATTATGTACCGCAATAGTGGCTTACGTTGCCTAGTTTGCCGAGAAAATCGGCAAAAAGTCTCTATCAGTCAGAGTGCTGGCCCTCCTCGGGAGTCCAAATGTCGGCCACTGGTCGCTCATCTTTCAAATATTATACACATAAATATTATTAACGTGTTATAATATATTTAGAAGGGAATTAAAATAAAGTGATAATGTAATTTATTAATATACTAACATCAGATTAATGTAAACTTGCAAAATATACTTTTTTAAATTATTTTTTGATAATAATAATAATAATAATAATAATAATAATAATAATAATAATAATAATAATACCATTATTTCTACATGAATTAACTTATACAGACTATAGTTGACATCAATGACATACTATTGTATAGAAAGTCCATTTTTATGCTGAGCATTTCGGGTAAATTAGGTCAATTTTATCCCCAGGATGCGACCCACACCAGTCAATTAACACCCAGGTACGTTTTACTGCTAGGTCAACATGGACAACAGGTGTCTTAATGAAAAAAGTCCTAATGTTCTTACCCGTACCGGGGATCGAACCAAGACCTCAATGTGTGAGCTGAGTGCGCTACCAACCCAGCTACGGGACACCTTGATAGATACTTAAGTTTAGCAACGAGAAGCAGAGTGGTCTGTGCTGCACTTTGATGTTTGATAAATAAAGTGGGTTAATTTACATAATGGCTGAGAAGTAAGCTAACTCTCGTAAGAAAAATTTAAAACCACAACACCGTGGCTGAAATCAATCACAAATAAGTCACACACTTGAAAACGAAACTTTAGAAACTAAATGATTATAACTATGATCATAATTTTTAAAGGGATGGACCGGTAAGCCAGTGGAAGGCCTCAGTCAGGTGACCAGAAGCTCCAACTGTGGGTCATCAACTAAGATCAGCTTCATGAAACTCTTGTCCTGTTCCTGACGAACATTACCTACCCGAACGAAACTTAAACGACGTTTCGGTCCGTCCTGGACCAAGTTTTAACATGGTATTGGTCCAGGACTAACTGAACCACCGTTTAGTTTCTCCTCCAAATTATAAATAAGGAAACGCAACACCTGATGAACAGCATTAGGGACCATTTAGCCACACTGACCTAATTTTAAAACTACACCTTACACCTGTTATCTCCGTTTACCTAGCAAGCAAGTAGGTACCTGGGTGATAGTGGACTGGTGTGGGTGGCATCCTGGAGGCCAAGATTAAAGGACCACAATGGAAATAAGACAGACAGTCCCTCGATGACAGACTGACTTTCTTTGGGTTACCTTGGGTGGCTAACCCTCTGAGGTTAAAAAATCCGAGCAAAATCTTATTTCTAGTGGGTGGAAACATTAAGTAAGTAAGAAAATAAGTAAAGTAAGTTAATTAGGACGAGTTTCCATAAGACACCTGCTGTCCATGTTCACCTATCAGTAAAATAGGTACCTGGGTGATAGTAGACTGGTATGGGTGGCATCCTGGGACAAAATTTACCTAATATGCGGGAAATGCTCTACATAACAAGGGGTTTTCTATATAGTAATGTGTTACTGATGTCAGATATGGTCTGTATACCTTGAAGAAATAAAGATTATTATCAAAGTCGGGTTCTATACGACGTAAGCTGTCAGTGGTCCTTATAAACCCAACACAAACCTGCTGTTACTGTTCACCTAGCAGTAAGTAGGTACCTGAGTGTTACACTTGCTGTTACTGTTCACCTAGCAGTAAGTAGGTACCTGGGTGTTAGTTGCACTTGCTGTTACTGTTCACCTAGCAGTAAGTAGGTACCTGGGTGTTAGTTACACTTGCTGTTACTGTTCACCTAGCAGTAAGTAGGTACCTGGGTGTTAGTTACACTTGCTGTTACTGTTCACCTAGCAGTAAGTAGGTACCTGGGTGTTAGTTGACACTTGCTGACATTGTTCACCTAGCAGTAAGTAGGTACCTGGGTGTTAGTTGCACTTGCTGTTACTGTTCACCTAGCAGTAAGTAGGTACCTGGGTGTTAGTTACACTTACTGTCCCTGTTTACCTAGCAGTAGGTAGGTACCTGGGTGTTAGTTACCTTACACTTGTTGTCCTTACCCCGGGTTATCCTGAGTGGCTAACCCTCCCTACCCGAGGTTATCCTGGGTGGCTAACCCTCCCTACCCGAAGTTATCCTGGGTGGCTAACCCTCCCTACCCGAGGTTATCCTGGGTGGCTAACCCTCCCTACCCGAGGTTATCCTGGGTGGCTAACCCTCCCTACCCGAGGTTATCCTGGGTGGCTAACCCTCCCTACCCGAGGTTATCCTGGGTGGCTAACCCTCCCTACCCGAGGTTATCCTGGGTGGCTAACCCTCCCTACCCGAGGTTATCCTGGGTGGCTAACCCTCCCTACCCGAGGTTATCTTGGGTGGCTAACCCTCCCTACCCGAGGTTATCCTGGGTGGCTAACCCTCCCTACCCGAGGTTATCCTGGGTGGCTAACCCTCCCTACCCGAGGTTATCCTGGGTGGCTAACCCTCCCTACCCGAGGTTATCCTGGGTGGCTAACCCTCCCTACCCGAGGTTATCCTGGGTGGCTAACCCTCCCTACCCGAGGTTATCCTGGGTGGCTAACCCTCCCTACCCGAGGTTATCCTGGGTGGCTAACCCTCCCTACCCGAGGTTATCCTGGGTGGCTAACCCTCCCTACCCGAGGTTATCCTGGGTGGCTAACCCTCCCTACCTGAGGTTATCCTGGGTGGCTAACCCTCCCTACCCGAGGTTATCCTGGGTGGCTGATCCTCCATACCCTGGGTTGAAAATCCCAACATATCTTATGTTTCAGTCTTGGTGGAGTGTGTGACCAGTGAAGAGGCAGGACCAGGAGCTATGACTCGATCCCTGCAACCACAATTAGGTGAGTACATCTCGCTGTACCCCAGCCCTGATCATCATTGTTGAATTTCTCCTGGTTTCTCAACTCCTGGGATGTTTGTCGCCATCATGCACTGGTTGTCAGTAGTCTGGTGATACTGATAACTATGGATTATTATTATAATCAAAATGAAGCGCTAAACCCACTAGGGTCTGACAGTTGTGGAAAGGGACACAGGTGCAGTTGAGGACCTTTATTAAAGGAAACATTTCAAGGGAATGTAATTCCTATTTTTTAAAGCAGGGAACAAGTCGTTGCCATCAAATTACCGCCCAATAAGCCTAATCTCAATTGTGGGCAAGTTACTAGAGTCAATTATAGCCGATAATATAAGATGCCATCTGGATAAGCATAGCTTGATTAATGATACTCAGCATGGATTCATGAGGGGCCTTTCCTGCCTAACTAATTTGTTGACGTTCTTCAGTAAAGGTTTTGAGGCCGTTGATCATGATAAAGAATTCGATATTGTTTACTTAGATTTTAGTAAGGCTTTTGATAGAGTACTGCACCAGAGACTGTTAAAAAAAGTGGCAGCTCATGGCATTGGGGGAAAAGTGCTCTCGTGGATCGAGTCATGGCTCACTAATAGGAAGCAGAGAGTATGCTTAAATGGGGTTAAATCCGAGTGGGGATCTGTAACAAGTGGCGTACCACAGGGATCAGTTTTAAGCCCATCGTTGTTTATAATATATATCAATGACCTTGATGAGGGTATTGCTAGTGATATGAGCAAATTCGCCAATGACACAAAGATAGGTAGGATAATTGATTCAAACGTAGATGTTAGGGAACTTCAGAAGGATTTAGACAAACTCTGTTCTTGGTCAGAAAAGTGGCAGATGCAGTTCAATGTTGATAAATGCAAGGTTCTGAAGCTCGGGAGTGTCCATAACACTAGCACTTATAAGTTAAATGATGTAGAACTTAGCCATACAGATTGTGAAAAGGACTTGGGGGTTATGGTGAGCAGCAACCTTAAACCAAGACAGCAATGCCTAAGCGTACGTAATAAGGCAAATAGATTATTGGGATTTATATCAAGAAGTGTAAGCAACAGAAGACCAGAGGTTATACTGCAGCTTTATACATCATTAGTAAGACCTCACCTAGATTATACAGCTGAGTTCTGGTCTCCATATTACAGAATGGACTTAAATTCGCTAGAAAACATTCAGCGTAGAATGACTAAATTAATTCATAGTATTAGAAATCTTGCTTATGAAGAAAGATTGAAGACTCTTAAATTACATTCACTTGTTAGACGAAGAATGAGGGGAGACATGATAGAAGTGTATAAGTGGAAGATGGGTATTAATAAAGGGAATATAAATAAAGTCTTGAGGATATCTCTCCAAGAGAGAACCTGCAGTAATGGATTTAAATTAGATAAGTTTAGATTTAGTAAGTATGTAGGAAAGTTTTGGAAATAGGGTAGTTGATGAGTGGAGCAGTCTACCTAGTTGGGTTATTAAGGCTAGGACTTTGGGTAGTTTCAAATTTAGGTTGGATAAATGCATGAGTGAGAGGGGTTGGATTTGAGTGGGACTTGCATATCAGAGCTTATTTCTTGGGTAGCATTGAAGGTAAATGTTTTGTTAGTGGGATGAATTGTAAAGGACCTGCCTAGTATGGGCCAACAGGCCTCCTGCAGTGTTCCTCCTTTCTTATGTTCTTACTAGTGGTAAAACTTTTTTTTCTTTAATAAGTGCCCAGAAGTGACTGTGATTTTCACTGTACAGCAGTAGCCTGGAACCTAACCTGCTGTATAAGCAGGTTAAGTTCCAGGCTATTCATGTATACGTACATTTCTGTATGTATACATGAAAGCTGTATATGCACTTACATAATAAACATCAATTGTGTTTTACGTTGACAAATACAATAGCTTCAGTTTTTTATTTCTAGAGCATCGTGATAATCTAAGGTTTCATACATAATGGGCACAGTTGAGAACATGGTAGCTGACATCTGTTTCATCTGCTGTAAGAAGCTCTCATCTCTGGGTGCCACTTCATATACCAACCATCATGTGCTTAAGTACACGAAGGTATGGCAAGATACGTATGCAGTACTAGGAATGCATAATGGGAAGATTTTTGTAGCAACAGTACTTTACACTTTAATGAATAAAACTTGCTGTATTACTTTTTAAGGAAATTTATATATTGCATTGCACTCTCAAGAATCTTTTCTGATAAAGCTATTAACTGTATATTACTGATATTTTTATGTAGTATATGTCGTATCTGCAGTTTCCTATGTTGCTGCTCTAAGCCAGTTATGAGATTCTTTAAATTTTAATTAATTTAAATAATTTGCCAAAAAGTATACAGTATTCACTGTCAGTTATTCCCTAGCTACTTTTTTTTTTTTTTTTTTTGATAAGATAAGATACTTTATTTCTGCATAATACAACATTGGTACAAAGTGAATGACACATAGGTGTGCATGTAGAAAGCCCCTTAATGTGTAGAGCATTTCAGGAAAACTTAAGACTAACTTAAGATTAATAAGGCAATGACAAATTGAGTGGTTTTATACATACAGTCTCTTAGGTGACTGTAAATATAAATTTAGGAGTTACAATAAATGCAAGAGAATTGAATATCCTATAAGGACATGTTATATGGCTTCTATCAAGTTTAATTGTTTTATCTGATTCAGTGATAACTCTCCTAACCATAATAATATCAAGGTGCGGGCATGGCATTTCCAACTTCCAAAGCTCAAGCCCGACTAACAGGTTTTGCTGAATCCCTTCATAAATATTACCATGCTGACACTCCAACAGCATGTAATATCCCAAACATTTCTAAACTTTACTCACTCTAATTGAACATGCTTTCATGTGCTGATCTGATGTTCAAACCTCTGCCTTTCAGTACAGCATTATAGCACACACCATTGTTCTCTGTTTATTTATATTCACTTTATTTCTGTGAGTAAACCTGTTTCGAGAGTTTTCCCAAAAATAAACCACTGCACAAAATCTTAATTTGATGGAAAGCAGGTATGGTGCTATTGACAGTATGTAGATAATGGGTAGGACAAGGCTGAGGCAAGAATTGCCTGAGTATAAATGTTTGGAATCAGACCATACCATGGGCGGGGATAGAACCCATGATCAGAGAGTCAAGTCTTTGGAATCAGGATAGTCAGGTAGCAATAAATAAATTTAACATTCACTATCTGATACATATTTAAAGAAGGTAAAAGGTAGTTTCATTACTAGAAAAAGGCACAAAATTTGTAATTAAATAGTTATTAAATAAATACTACATACCCAATTAAAAGTAATTTTTTAACATTACATATTTTTCATCAAGCCAGGCTGACCCAAAGAAGGAAAACATTTACCATCACTCATTCACTTGCTGCCTTTCTAATATATCATTCGTAACACACTTCTAATAATCCACCGAGACTCAACATCCTCACCCATCAAGGAGGGTGCCTACATGCTGTTGAAGGGGTTTGGATTCAAGGAAATGGAGCTACCCCCATCCTTCTCACATCAAATTTGATTATATTCACGAGGAAGTGCTGAAGCTTTATGTGTCATAGAATGCCTGGAGAGTATGACAGGTTGGGGTATACCTGGAATATACCTAATATCTCCAGGCATACTGCTACCTGTCACACTCCCTAGGCATTGTATGACCTGTATAGCTTCAGTACTTCTTCATGAATATAATAATAAAATTTAATCAACTTTCTCAACTATCCTTCAGAAGTCATCAACTTACTTTCTTAATTAAGTAAAAAGTTAAGTAACACACTTGAGACAATTAAACCTTTTCTGTTAATAATGTCCCCATTTTGCATTTACAGATGACTGTGATAAATTGCTTAAGAAAATTTTTAAGTAGTTGCATACAAACCACCCAGAAAGGCAAGTGGGATCTTTGGTTGTGTCTAGCATGTGACAAAATCATCAGAGACTTGGATAACTTTCTGCACCAGTACACCAAAACTCGAGCAAAACTGCAACTTGTGTATACTGAAGCTCATTCTCATGTGTGTGTAAGTAGTGGGCTATCAATCACATTCAAATTCAAATTCAAATTCTTTGTTTCAGCATGATACAATGTTTGTACAGAGATGGGTGACATTAGGTGTACATGCAGAAAGCCCTTGGTATACAGAGCATTTCAGACAAGTAGATATTATAACTTCTTTCACATGAGTATGAAATACTGTTTTTTATTATGTTGTCTTTACCATATGTATTTAGATATGTATGTGTATATGTATGCATGTATGTATGAATATGCATGTATGTATGAATGTGCATGTATGTATTCAACAACAGGGAGAAGTTAAACTCGTATACTGCGACAATCCATTGTCTTCTGTCTATAAATTTGCATTCAGCATACAGTATTTGTTTGGACTTTACTTACTTGATATATTCCATCTTGAACCATACTTTGGTTTAGCTAAAACCAATTCCCATTTAGTAATTTATTGGCTTTACTCTTTCTATCATTCCCCAGGCTTATGCTCCCTGATTTCATTTTTATTAAAACTTTTAAATGTCTGTTTTGGAAACATTTTGCTAAAATTTTCAAGCAAGGTGGATTGTGAATTTACATTGCCACTAATTCCATTTCTAATAGGAATTAATTGGAAGCCTGTGAGTGTTCAATCTGTTGCAAAAAGACAAAAATCGGTTATTATGCTCACATGCATTTAACCTAATGCAAACTGTGCTGCTAACCCTTGAATGAACAATCTTACTCTCTGGATTACTTTCTGTACAGTGCTAAAGCTTATCCTCTTGTTTCTGTTGTGTCTTTATTTTTTGTTTACAAATGCTCTTAGCTGGTGGTGGGTTCATAAAAAAACCAAAGGAGACAACACAATTTTTTTTAATGCTGGCCATCTCACACTGAGGAAGGATGACCTGAAATAGAAACACTTTCACCATAATTCACATTATCACTGTCTTGCTGCAAATACAACAATTCAGATGACCCCCCAGACACAAAATTATTTATATACAGTATGATGTAGAGGAATTTCTTCCCTTGAAATTTTAATGTTTTTACTTTTTGTTTTTATCTGACATTAAAGTGTTTTGCAAAAACAAAGTTTTGAGTATAAAACTTCATTTTTATCGACTCCAGAGGGTAGGGGCATTTGCTTCATTACTCCCTTGATCTACCGATCCTTTTAACCCAAATATGATGCCTGTGAGCGTTTCAGTAATGCTGAGTAACATAGATTCCAGGATCCCTACTCATTGATTATTTGGAATTTCATTAAATCCTAGAACTCAAAAACTTAACTATAACTAAACTGTCATATCTGAGTGCCTCTGCAAAGACAGTGGTTGTGTGAGTGAGGTGAAAGTGTTGAATGATGATGAAAGTAATTTCTTTTTGGGGATTTTCTTTCTTTTTGGGTCACCCTGCCTCGGTGGGAGACAGCCGACTTGTTGAAAAAAGAAAGTACAGTGGACCCCAGCATAACGATCACCTCCGAATGCGACCAATTATGTAAGTGTATTTATGTAAGTGCGTTTGCACGTGTATGTTTGGGGGTCTGAAATGGACTAATCTACTTCACAATATTCCTTATGGGAACAAATTCGGTCAGTACTGGCACCTGAACATACTTCTGGAGTGAAAAAATATCGTTAACCGGGGGTCCACTGTAGTAGAATATTTAATGCTTATGTCATGTAATAAAGGACCAAGGGGCTAGTAACCCCTTCTTTATAAATTACTAAATTTAAAAAGAGAAACTTTTGTTTTTCTTTTTGGGCCACCCTGCCTTGGTGGGATATGGCCGGTTTGTTGAAAGTTGAAAGAAAGTCATGTAATAAAATGTTCTTTTATTCTTTTCTGTAATAGAGTGAAAGAAATGTTGAGCACTTAGAAGATACAGAGAAATTGGAGAATTCCTGTCATGATGCAGAATCAAGATTCCTTCAAAAGTTGTCAGATCGGTGCAGTTCAAAAAGGATCATCAAAAGCAACCCTCGGTATGCTGATGAAACTCATTCTAATACACGTCATAATAAGTGTTCACTCTGTAATCGAGAGCACCAGACCAAGGCTGCTTTAGAAGCACATATGGAAGGTATTCATGGTCAGAAAAAAACCAAAAGAAGTCGCGGTCGTCCTCGAAAATATGACAGACATAAAATTACCATCTTTCCCTCTGATGAGCTTGTGTCAAAAGATGAAAGTGTGGTGTTAGGCGATAGTAAAATTTCTACGGATGGGTCAGATGCAAATGAAAAAGAATGTGAAGTAATGAAAGAATCACAGAGCTTCTTACTTGTTAATGGCACACACTATCTAGAAACTGAGCCATCATCCTCAGACACTGTTTGTCAAGGTTCTTCTGTGAGTGGTGTTAGCATGTACAAAAGTAAATCGCTGGCAGAAAACCGAGAAGAGTCTTTACTAGTGGAAGATAAAAATCATGGAAGCATTGATTCAGAAATTCTTGGAACAGTTCTCAGTGATATGGCAGATGATAATTTTCTCACAGCACCAAGATGTAGTAACCATGAAAAGAATCATAGTTTAATTAATGAGTCTTATTCAAATGCTGAAAGAAAAAAGAAAATTCCAAAGCCAAGTGATAAAAAGTACATGCGGCAAGAGAAGTGCTCAAAGTGTGGGAAAGTTGTCGTTGGTCGCATGAAATTAAGAAGACACATGTTAATGCACTCAACTTCTCAAGAGCAAAAGGTTAGTTTAGTTGCTTTTATACTTCATTTATTGATTGGTAATAATATAAACTAGAGTGATAGAAAACCACTAATAACAGCATTACAGCATGTCACATGGTCTCTTCTGCTGGTGTCAGTTGGTATAAAGATACTTGTTCATTGTTTCTCTTATTACAGTTTTTATCATTTTCACTTTATTGTAAAATTATCAAGATAAAGTGGGATGTAACAGTTCAGAAGATATCAGTGATTATGTAATTATTTTTCATGCTTAATGACAAAAATAAATAGCTACTGTTACTGAATGTGTAAATAAACAAATAATTACTGTAAATCAACTAAATACCAGTATTGAAAGGCTAAAAAATGTATACAGGTTACAGATTTGCTGCCTTCATTCTGGGTAATTATCTTAAGTTTCATCTCCAAAGTAATTACTTTAGCACCACTGTAAGGTTGAAATATTGTAAGTCGAACCATTGTAAGTCGAGGAGCACCTGTACTGTATGAGATATTCACTTGCATAAAAAAAAAGTTATTCACAGTATTTTTTTCTAAAATGTTAGTATGAGGAAATTTTAATGTTTATTATTTGACAGAGTTGCGAGGTGTGTGGGCGTGTGCTTCACAACATTACTGCGTACAAGGTGCACATGCTGCGTCTACATGATAAAATACCAAAATCTTCAGCTCTAGATAGTGCAAATAAGAAGAGCTGTGACATATGTGGAAAAACATATCGGGGAGCTTCGGGGCTTTCATACCACCTGGCAGCCAAGCATAATAAAGGTAATGAAATGACACATTTTATATAAAGCACTGCCTGCACTCTAAGGGACGGGTAGGGATGAATGAATGATGGTGAGTGTGTTTTTTTCCTCTTTGAGTCACCATGCCTATGTATATATGTATGTACAGTATGTATGTATATGTACACAGCTTTTTTAGCCCCTTATTTAACTGAAGCATTGGTAAGATATCACAGACTTTCATCATAAAAACTGGTACCATTAGTACAATTTAAAATATCCTAAAACTAGTATGTCTGTTCTCAGACCGGGCCGTAGGGGCGTTGATCCCCGAAACCTGCTCCAGGTACCATGAACATACCTTTCAAACACATCCTCCTAGGTGTGTCAGCAGCCATTTAAATATAGTACTTCATGTAATGATGAAGTATCCAAATAGTGTCATAAACATTGGTCAGTGGTACCAATGAATCTACACAGGCAATAAAACAACAGTTCAAGTCAGCACAGTAATGTATATTTCTGTCTTATTCTGAGGCCTTTTTTCAGTAGACTGCTGAAGAAGGCCTCAGTATGAAATGCACTTTGATAATTGTTTTATTATCTCCATGTAGCCTTATTTGTGAAATTATCTGGGATATTGAGAGAAATTTTTGTAACCTCCATAGGTCCTCGGTATCCGTGTGACAAGTGTGACCGAGTTTTTCCTCACAGTCGCAACCTTTCGTCACATAAAGCTCAAGTAAGTTTAGAATATATATTATTGTTTTCTACAACTCCATTTAAGGTTTCTTCTTCCCTACTTACCATAGTATAATTTGCTCATTTCTAACATTTCTTTACTTGTCATCATAATATACGTACTTGCTCCTAACATTCTTGTTCCCTCGTTTATAACACTCCTCTTCTCCTCTTTTCATAGTACAACACAGAATACTCATAGCTCTCTTTTTCTTTTCCTAGCATAGTAGTATATGCACTTTTAACACTTCCTCCTCTCTTTTGATAGTATGCTCATTTCTAACACTATTTCTCATCTCATTATAGTACAGTACAGCATATTCATTTTAAATACTCTTAAAATTGTAATATGCTTGTGGTTTGGGATGCTTCCTATACTGATACCAAGCTTCCATGTTTTCACATACACTCAGCACGTAACAATTTTTCAGGCACATGGAAGTTACTCTGTGATTTGTGAGTACTGCGGAGAGACATTTAAACTACAAACTCAGTTGAACTCTCACATTAACTCTGTACATCATGGAATTACATCCTGGGAATGTACTCTTTGCTCTTCCAAATTCTCCTCACATATTGATTATAGGTAAGTGGAATTTGTATATATTATCATCATAATGTTTCGAGATCTTTGCCAAATTTGTTAACTGATACAAGTGCATACTGTAATATACAGTACATGAGACTCATGGAGGATTGAGCTTCCATAACTCCCTGTGCTAATTGAACCACAAGGTTTAGGGTTTCCTATAAATATAATCAGGGACATGCTTTTTTTTCTGGAATTCCAGTTTTGAGCTTTAGGAGCTTGAGTATCCAACAGGTTTTTATAAGTATGCTACATCGGAGTGAATTGAGAAAAGTGATTTTTAATGTTTATGTTGTTAGAGTGTGAACAAGGTAGCATTTATGAAGGAGTTCAGGAGAAAAAGTTAGCCTGACTTAGAGTCCTGGTGGTGGGTTGAGCAGTGTCTGCACTCTGAAGGAGGGATGGAGATGTTGCAGTCAGAAGGTAATCTGAATTGTGATGTCATCACACTTCTGGCAAGACTGCAATTGAATGCATGATGGTGAATGTGTTTCCTTCTTTGGGTCACCTTGCCTTGGTGGGAGACAGCCATTAAGATAAAAAAATTCTTTTGCTATCTTCAAGCTCAATACATTTTAAAGTATAAAATGCAGATTTGAAATGTAGATCTAGAGGCAATCCTGTATTACCTGTTGTGTCCTTATCTTAGTAACAAGAGTTGTGGTTGTAAGCTTTCAATAGTTTTAATTTTCTTGCCTGGATCTCCTGGAGTTGTAATCCACATGTGGAAGTGAGGCAATATGTGTGCTTGAACAAATAAATGGAAAAAATAATGGAGAAGCATACATTTATTACATATTCTAACTTATGAAACTGCTGTACAATACTGTATTATTAAATTTTATTGGCTGTAAAATAATGTTTATTACAGAATATTCTGAGCTGTATGGTGTTGTTGCTTCTCCACAAAGACAAATTTAACAATTAATTCCCTATTGAAAATGTTACCAAGTCTTTCTAGAAACATCTTGTACAGTATTCAATTTTTTTTTGGCTAGATATCCTGTCCTGCACTCTTCCCTCTGGCACCATTGTGAAACTGTTATTATCCCTGATAATAGTACATGATACATTAGACATTGCTAACTCACAAGGCTAAGCTCATAGATCTATCATAAACCACATTTGTTGAAAGCTTACATGAATAGTGAGAATATAGAATGTAGTCCTAATAAAAACTTGCTTGCATATTGCATCTCTGTACCAGTACCTGTCAGCACTACATGTCTAGATTTATTCTGTACAGTAAGCATCATAAATATGCATACACATAAACAGACCACACAGAAAATGAGACTGCTCACCATAACCTGTTGTTTAAAATAGATAATAGGAAATATTTATGTGTTCCTTACCTAAATTAATATATTGTAGGATTACCCTTCCTCTTGATGCACTCCTTAAGTCTCCAAGGCATTGATAAGACTAACTTATGGACGGTAGAAAAGTCAGTACCCTCCCACACCTGGTTAATGGCACTCAAGATTTTGGGGTTAGGTAACAGGTCCACGCCATGAAGCTTACGCTTAATAAGTTTTGGACATTCTCAATCAGATGTAAGCTCAGTGAGTCTAGACCAGTCATTAAAATATTGAAAAATCACAATAATTCAGCCAGTTCTTTGTCTTTGGCATTATGTCAAGGTACAGTGTCTTCCATACAAAAGTTACACTGGCACTTCATGAATCTGTCAGGCAAATACGTAGTCTGCTAAAGTTGGACTTTTTAGGTGTGCATATTTATGATGCCTAGTGTATATGCATATTACTGCATTAGTACTGTACTGTACAATATTAGAGCTATACAATATCAGTGTTTTATTATATTTATTAGACACTATACTGTTGTTTATTTTGTAGGTTACATATTAATAAGCACAAGAGAGTGACATACGAATGTGATGCTTGTGGCAAGCAATATTCTTGGCGAGAGGCACTGAGGAAGCACAAACGTACAAAGCACGAATGCTTTCTTGCATCTGTGTCCTATGACTGCTCTGCTGTGACACCTTCAATAATTTCTGAGACCATTTCACCACATGACGAAGGCATAGATAATGTAACAGTGCTTCCTAAAGAAAACACCGAAAGTTCAGTGGAGGGAGTAAGAGTAACATCTGCAGCTTCATTACAAAAATTACTGGAAAAACCTGAGAATGTAGACAATGGTATATACATTGATGCTGCTCTAGAACCAATCATATTAGGGGGTAACTTACAGGTTAGCCAGAAGGCCATGGATAGTGGATCTGTTTTAACTTCACTGATATCTGCAACTGACCTGAGTATTGGTGAGAGGGAAATTATATCTGACACTCCCGTACTCTCCATGGTCTCTAGTGCTGAATGTGACTCGCCTGAAAAAGACATAAATACTAACACTGTTATTTCAGTACCAGAAACAGATTGTGTAGGTAACTTTGAGAGAGTAGAAGACAGCAATGAGTTACCATTTGTTGTATCTGATAAGGTAAGATGTTTGGAAGATAGGCTTCCATTGCCACAAGGAGCTGCCAGGACTTGTGAAGCTGTATTACCATGCAGAGAAGCTCAGGCCATCACAGCTGCTCATGTGGAAGAAGTGGTTATTGTAGAAACTGATGCTAATGCTAATTTTGACTATATTGTGTATCATGTATCTAGTTAATAATATTAAAACCTTGCTGGCATAATATTTTTATTATGTATTTTCTTTATGCTTATATATAGTTATGTGAAAAATATTGTACCTTAGTTGTAACAGACCTCAGTAAAATGAATTTCAGAAATATAGAACAAAATGTACTGGGTTAATTGGTTCATAAACAGCAGATAAAGTTCATTGGTTACAGAATTGTCCGTTATAGTTACAATCGTGGCAAAATAATCACATCTTTATCCATTACTGCCCACCTTCTTTTTCTTATTAATCCATCATATTGAGGGCTTACTGTTATATAAATATTATTACAGTAATAGTTCCTAAGAAAAAAAAAATAGGTGATCAAAGATATTTAACCTTGTCCTCTTTCCCACTTACATTTTTTCTGAGAAACTTCACTATGTACAGCGAACACCAGATAATACTGTATATCTATAGTTCCTGAATTGCCTGTTACACAATTCATAATGTACAGTACAGTATATCAGTCTTTAATAAACAGCATCTCTCAATTTGCTGCAGAAATGTTGTTTACACCATGGACATTACATTAGTACTCTCTTCAGGGGGAGTGTCTTGATGCTGGTGAAGGCATCTTGATCCAAGGGATTTGAACTATCCCCCTCCTTGGATTGAACCTGATTACTTCCCATGCCACATTGGGCCATGGGAAATGCTAAACCCATAAGGGAATTATACAGTACCAGGGTAAACGGGAAGCAATCAGATTCAGTCCAAGGAAAGGGAAGGTAGCTTATAGTCTTTAGATCAAGAGCTCTTTACCATCAACAAGGCACTTCAAACTGTTACCATATGCTTTTTTTAAAACTGATATGCAAAGTTGATTGTATTTACTGATGGTAAATTGTATGGGATCCCATTCACCAGAACACACCATCTTCATTTTGGATGCCTTTTGTATAAACCCTGACATGCTTACTGCCCACCCTTCTCTCTGATAGGAGGGTAATTGTAAATTGATTGGCAATGCGTCTGTTCATCACACAGTGTTGAAGGACCCACATGGGTTTAGCACTTCTTGTTAATATATTTTCTGTGACAGTTTCACCTCTGCTGTAAACATTCTGATTTCTTACCTAGCACCAATTTGCTATATCAGCTGTGACTTACCATTTTTTTCAGTCAATTTTCTTCCTTAAGCACATCTATATCTTATCCTTTACATCCCTTTTTCTCCTTCACTTATTTTTATTCTTTCTTTCTTTCTTCTTTTAACACACTAACACACTGGCCATATCCCACTGAGGCAGGGTGGCCCAAAAGAAAAAACAAAAGTTTCTCCTTTTACATTTAGTAATATATACAGGAGAAGGGGTTACTAGCCCCTTGCTCCTGGCATTTTAGTTGCCTCTTACAACACGTATGACTTACGGAGGAAGAATTCTGTTCCACTTTCCCATGGAAGTAAGAGGAAATAAACAAGAACAAGAACCTGAAAGAAAATAGAAGAAAACCCAGAGGGGTGTGTATATATATGCTTGTACATGTATGTGTAGTGTGACCTAAGTGTAAGTAGAAGTAGCAAGACGTACCTGAAATCTTGCATGTGTATGAGACATAAAAAAAAAGACACCAGCAATCCTACCATCATGTAAAACAATTACAGGCTTCCGTTTTACACTCACTTGGCAGGACAGTAGTACCTCCCTGGGCGGTCGCTGTCTACCAACCTACTACCTAGGACTTATTTTTATTATTATTATTATATTTTTTTTATCACACAGACCATTTTCCACCAAGGAAGAGTTAACTGAAAAAGACACTTTCACCATCATTTTCTTTGTCACTGTCTTGCCAGAGACATGTAGATACTACAGTTCAGGTGCCCTTCCGGAACTGCAAATATCCCCATCCCTCCTTCAGAGTACAGTCACTGAATGTCCCACCTCCAGGACTCTAGTCCAGCTAACCAGTTTCCCTGAATCCGTTCTTGAAATGTTACCTTGTTCACACTACAACAGCTCGTCAAGTCCCAAAAACCATTTGCCTCCACTCAGTCTTATCTAACACAATTACACATGCCTGCTGGATGTCCAGTCCCCTTGCACACAAAACTTTCTTCACCCTGTCCCTCCAACCTTTCCTGGGGTGACCCCTACCCCACCTTCCCTCCACTACAGTAAAGTATAAAATTATGTGTTAATGTTTTAGGTATATACATATACAGTGGAACCTTGGTTTTCGTCTTTAATTCGTTACAGAAAGTCTGACGAAAACCGAATTTGACGAAAACTGAAGGAATATTTCCCATGAGAAATAATGTAAATCCAGTTAATCCAATCCAGACACCCAAAAGTATTAACAAAAAATACATTTTATAGAGAATAACTATATGTAGTTTTACATACAGAAAACAATGAGAAATAAATATAAAGGACTATTGAAATGGGTAAATGAACATTTAACATAACTTTTGCCTTTATTGAAGACTATTGTTGGTGTATGGCAGATGGCAAGGAGGGGAGGGGAAGGAGAGGTTATTGTTTGGAAGGGGAATCCCCTTCCATAAGGACTTAAGGTATCAAGTCCTATCCGGGGTTACGTCCCTTCTTTGTTTTTTACTGGCACTCTGACCAGCTTGAGAGTCACTGGACCCCTGTCCAGTGACTGTCCAGAAAGGTCTGTTTCTGGCATCTCTTTAAGATTTGCCTAAAATGGGACAAGGCATTGTCATTGAACATGTTGCAGACATGGCTTGCAACAGCTTTGTTAGGGTAATACTTTTCACCTGTCTTGTCCTCCTCCTCTGAAGCAATGAGTGGTGAGTGGAGAATATATTTATTGTAGGAAGTCTGAATAAATGAAGAATGAGTATAAGTGAAAACCACTGCATTAACAAAACGCTGTAAAAAGGGGCCCTCCTGTGTTATGCTCTTTTATATTCTATTAATCTTAGGTTTTAAGTTGCCTGCATAACCATATATACAGTACAGTGGACCCCCGCTTTACGATCAGCTCCCAATGCGACCAATTATGTAAGTGTATGTATGTAAGTGCATTTGTACGTGTATGTTTGAGGGTCCGAAATGGACTAATCGAATTCACAATATTCCTTATGGGAACAAATTCATTCAGTAATGGCACCTGAACATACCTCTGGAATGAAATAATATCGTAAGGTGGGGGTCCACTGTACTGTTAAATGTTATCCAGTTTTGTAAAAACTATGCTTTTTTTTCATGTGGAAATAAAGTATTTATTTATGTATTCATTTATAATTCCTCTCATCATGAATCCCTCACTGGCATCCAGGAATCTTGTTTGAGATGTTTACCCTTCAAGGGTTTCTGGATGCTTCTGAAGGGCTCTTAATCTAAGGAATTCGAGCTGCCCTCCCCTTCTTTAGATCAGTATAATTGCCTTCTGTTTTGCAGGTGTTGTATGACCTCTGCAGATTTAGCAGTTCACCATAAATACAATGCCCAATGTATGTGTAGTAATATCAATACCATCATTTTAAATAGTGAATTGAGAAATATGAGAAATATTTGAAATTTACATTTAAATTTTCATAAGTTCAGTTAGATTAGATTAGATTTTGACACTGAAGTGGCTAGTTTATTGTGCATCCCATATCCGTCCTGTGGATTTTACTGCAAGATCGTATGGACACACAAAAGGCCTAGGAACTAGACCCCCAAAAGGGTTAACAGGGGTACATTTGGATTTTTATCTACAGTTCACTTACTTATTACAAGCAAATTTAGGAAATTTGTTTAATATATCTGGTATCTTATTTTCATTAATAAGATGTCTTGATATGTCACATAGGTTTTTATACTGTCTATCTCTATATTTCTCAATAAGTGGACAATTAAGCACATAGTTTTCAAGATATTGACCATAGGGCTGGCCACATACTTTGCATTTGGTTTGATCATCATCTGTGTGTCTGCCAAACTGCCAGAAGTACTTGTAACCAAGCCTAATTGTGGCCACTACAATATCAGTCACTCTGTTCACATTGTAAGTTGCTCCATAAACATACGTATCTACATTTGTGTTATCATAGTGGGTTATAGATCTACTCGAGTTTCATTATTTACTTCTCTCCTAACATTATTCCTAATGCTAGACATAGATAGGCCAAAGTTATTCTACATTCTCCTTCAGGGTACTTTTCTTTATTCTACATTCTCTCCAGGGTACTTTTCTTGGCTGTTGTACAGTATCTACTTTATCATGAAGGAGTAATTTAATTAGATTTAGATTTTGCCACCGAAGTGGCTAGTTTATTGTGCACCCCATATCCATCCTGTGGATGGTAGTGTGAGAGCATATGGATACACAAAAGGCCTAGGAACTAGGCCCCAAAGGGTTAACGGGAATACATATGGATTTATATCTACATATCTATAGTTCAATTATCTGTTACAAGCAAATTTAGGAAATTTTCTTAGTATATCTGGTACAGTATCTTATTTTCATTAATAAGATATCTTGACATGTCACATAGGTTATTATACTGTCTGTCTCTGTATTCCTCAATAAGTGGACAATTAAGCACATAGTGTTCAAGACAGTGACTATATGCCTGATCACATAATTTACATTTAGTTTGATCATCATCTGTGTGTCTCCCAAACTGCCAGAATTACTTGTAACCAAGCCTAAGCCTGGCCACTACAACATCAGTCAGTCTGTTCACATTGCACGTTGCTCCATAAACATACTTATCTATGTTCATGTTATCATAGTGGATTATAGATCTACTCAGGCTTCTAACTGCATTCCTATAACAATCATTTTCATTATTTACTCCTCTCCTAATATTATTCCTAATGCTAGACACAGATATACCAAAGTTATATTCTGTATTCTCCTGCTGGGTACTCTTCTTGGCTAACATATCAACTTTATCATGAAGGAGTAATCCAATGTGTGATAGGATCCATAGCAATTGTACATTAATTCCTTTGTCCCTGATTTTTGAGTATCTATACCTGGCTTCTCCAATGAGCATGTTTTTGGAGTCATTATATGAGTTAAGAGCATTCATTGATGACAGAATCAGCAATGATGATAGAGTCAAGCTCAGTGTCATAAGTTAGCTTTAGCGCCAGAGTAATCTAATGTGTGATGGAATCCATAACAATTGTACATTAATTCCTTTTTCCATAGATTTTTGAGTATCCATATCTGGCTTCTCTAGTGAGAATGTTGTTAGTCATTATGTGAATCAAGAGCCTTCAGTGATGACTTAGAATCAGTGATAATTATAGAGTCAAGCTCAGTGTAACAAGTTAGCTTTAGCATCATTAGGATGGCAAACAATACCTCTTCAATTTAGCACCAAGGCAGGTGTTTCCTGGCAAAAGCTTTGACTTAGCTTTGGACTGTATACATATGTCTCAGTTTCCCATTTTTATTGAAAAAAATTGAGATTTTATTTTTAATTATTATTATTATTATTATTATTATTAATTATATTATTATGATATTATTATTATTATTATTATTATTATTATTATTATTATTATTATTATTATTATTATTATTATTATTATATTGAATGGGTAAAATTATCAGTTTCCTACAGCATACACAAGATGAGAGAAAAAATTAGTTTCATTTTCCTAAATCAAGAGCTTTCACTAGCACAAAGGAATGACATATGAAAGGTGATGAGGCACAGCACATCATGTGGTGGTGGGTTAGGTGAGTGATGACTGGTACATCATGTGGTGGGTCAGGTGAGTGGTGACTGGTACATCAGTGGTGGGTCAGGTGAGTGGTGACTGGTACATCATGTGGTGGGTCAGGTGAGTGGTGACTGGTACATCATGTGGTGGGTCAGGTGAGTGGTGACTGGTACATCATGTGGTGGGTCAGGTGAGTGGTGACTGGTACATCATGTGGTGGGTCAGGTGAGTGGTGACTGGTACATCATATGGTGGGTCAGGTGAGTGGTGACTGGTACATCATGTGGTGGGTCAGGTGAGTTGTGACCGGTACATCATGTGGTGGTGGGTCAGGTGAGTGGTGACTGGTACATCATGTGGTGGGTCAGGTGAGTGGTGACTGGTACATAATGTGGTAGGTCAGGTGAATGGTGACTGGTACATCATGTGGTGGGTCAGGTGAGTGGTGACTGGTACATTACGTGGTGGTGGGTCAGCTGAGTGATGACTGCTACATCATGTGGTAGGTCAGGTGAGTGGTGACTGGTACATCATGTGGTGGATCAGGTGAGTGGTGACTGGTACATCATGTGGTGGGTCAGGTGAGTGGTGACTGGTACATCATGTGGTGGGTAAGGTGAGTGGTGACTGGTACATCATGTGGTGGGTCAGGTGAATGGTGTCTGGTACATCATGTGGTGGGTCAGGTGAGTGGTGACTGGTACATCATGTGGTGGGTCAAGTGAGTGGTGACTGGTACATCATGTGGTGGGTCAGGTGAGTTGTGACTGGTACATCATGTGGTGGGTCAGGTGAGTGGTGACTGGTACATCATGTGGTGGGTCAGGTGAGTGGTGACTGGTACATCATGTGGTGGGTCAGGTGAGTGGTGACTGGTACATCATGTGGTGAGTCAGGTGAGTGGTGACTGGTACATTATGTGGTGGGTCAGGTGAGTGGTGACTGGTACATCATGTGGTGAGTCAGGTGAGTGGTGACTGGTACATGTGGTGGGTCAGGTGAGTGGTGACTGGTACATCATGTGGTGGGTCAGGTGAGTGGTGACTGGTACATCATGTGGTGGTGGGTCAGGTGAGTGTTGAAAGGTACATCATGTGGTGGTGGGTCAGGTGAGTGGTGACTGGTACATCATGTGGTGGTGGGTCAGGTGAGTGGTGACTGGTACATCATGTGGTGGGTCAGGTGAGTGGTGACTGGTACATCATGTGGTGGGTCAGGTGAGTGGTGACAGGTACATCATATGGTGGTGGGTCAGGTGAGTGGTGACTGGTACATCATGTGATGGTGGGTCAGGCGAGTGGTGACTGGTACATGTGGTGGGTCAGGTGAGCGGTGACTGGTACATCATGTGGTGGGTCAGGTGAGTGGTGACTGGTACATCATGTGGTGGTGGGTCAGGTGAGTTGACTGGTACATCATGTGGTGGTGGGTCAGGTGAGTGGTGACTGGTACATCATGTGGTGGTGGGTCAGGTGAGTGGTGACTGGTACATCATGTGGTGGGTCAGGTGAGTGGTTACTGGTACATCATGTGGTGGGTCAGGTGAGTGGTGACAGGTACATCATATGGTGGTGGGTCAGGTGAGTGGTGACTGGTACATCATGTGATGGTGGGTCAGGCGAGTGGTGACTGGTACATCATGTGGTGGTGGGTCAGGTGAGTGGTGACTGGTACATCATGTGGTGGGTCAGGTGAGTGGTGACCGGTACATCATGTGGTTTTGGGTCAGATGAGTGGTGACTGGTACATCATGTGGTGGGTCAGGTGAGTGGTGACTGGTACATCATGTGGTAGGTCAGGTGAATGGTGACTGGTACATCATGTGGTGGGTCAGGTGAGTGGTGACTGGTACATTATGTGGTGGTGGGTCAGGTGAGTGGTGACTGGTACATCATGTGGCGGGTCAGGTGAATGGTGACTGGTACATCATGTGGTGGGTCAGGTGAGTGGTGACTGGTACATCATGTGGTAGGTCAGGTGAGTGGTGACTGGTACATCATGTGGTGGATCAGGTGAGTGGTGACTGGTACATCATGTGGTGGGTAAGGTGAGTGGTGACTGGTACATCATGTGGTGGGTCAGGTGAATGATGTCTGGTACATCATGTGGTGGGTCAGGTGAGTGTTGACTGGTACATCATGTGGTGGATCAGGTGAGTGGTGACTGGTACATCATGTGGTGGGTCAGGTGAGTGGTTACTGGTACATCATGTGGTGGGTCAGGTGAGTGGTGACAGGTACATCATATGGTGGTGGGTCAGGTGAGTGGTGACTGGTACATCATGTGATGGTGGGTCAGGCGAGTGGTGACTGGTACATCATGTGGTGGTGGGTCAGGTGAGTGGTGACTGGTACATCATGTGGTGGGTCAGGTGAGTGGTGACCGGTATGTCATGTGGTGGTGGGTCAGGTGAGTGGTGACTGGTACATCATGTGGTGGGTCAGGTGAGTGGTGACTGTACATCATTGTGGTTAGGTCAGGTGAATGGTGACTGGTACATCATGTGGTGGGTCAGGTGAGTGGTGACTGGTACATTATGTGGTGGTGGGTCAGGTGAGTGG